GGAGCGATAGGAAACTCAAACTAATTAACAAGAAAATAAGATACAGAGTTTACAAACATAAATACACAAACGGACACTACCCAAAATACCGAGGGGCAAAGCCAGAGAAAACCATGACTAACAACAACATGACCTAGAAAAAAGAACAACAAACACTAACTTGAGGCAACAACAAAGCACTGAGCCCTCTAGATAGCCACAGTACCCACACCCACAGCCCAACAAATACATGAAAAACAACATAATACACTAACCTCTGAACTGTCAAATAGCCTAGCTAGTCCACTCCGTCGGGGGATCCTCGGGCAAACACCCTGCTCCTCAGTTTGTGACCAGGCCTTGACCGCAGCCTGCACAATGCTGAGCTCTGGTCTCCACACTCTTTCAAACTTCTAGAGATTCTGAGATTTCCAAAGCCACCACAAGATATACGTTGTGGATTGTATTCTGGCTTCAGAAATCTCAGAGTGATCCAATGAACAAATCTGACCCCATCAGTCTGTGAACCTGCAAGAATCAAAAGTGGTCCCAACCCAACAAACTAGTGCATGTTTCCACACATTCCTTGCCCTTCTACACTTGAAAAACATGATGTTCTATTGTCTTATCCTCTTCACCATACCCCTTACAAATCACATCCACTACTACACATCTCTGCCTCACATTCACATGCCAAAAAAAAAAAAAAAACACTTTTAAAGAAAATGTTTCATCTTACCTTCGATCGTCAATTTCCAGCTCCTTGGCCTGATATTTTTCTCCCTGTTGCAGTAGTACTTTCTTCAACTAGGTTAAGATTCATCAGTTTTCTCTGAATCAAGTGAGAATAGGAAGAAGTCATTGAGAATTTCCCTTTTGCACCCCATCTCCAAGTCCATTTATAATTAAGAAGAGGATATAAAGATTGTATCTCCCGAATGGCTCTGTTGTCATCTTCACTGAAGACTTTTTTCACCCTTTGCTCCAGCCAGTTCTTCCCACTTCCATCAATCAGATCCTTGACCCACAAACTAAGATAAATTAAATCATTTAAATAACAATCGTTTAATCAAATAAAAAAATATAATATTGATTTCAGAATAAATAATTTGAACAAATATTTTTTATAATATAATTGTTTACGTTTATGTAACTTTCATATATCATTTAGTGTAAAATATAATTATTAATTTTAATAATAACTATTATGTGATATAATAAAAAATATAATTATTATTCAATTAATATAATATGTAATGAATTTTGTCTGGATTAACCAAAAAAAGTACAGGAAAATATTTTATCATTAATGGGATAGAGTGAATTAATGTAATAAGAATAGCAATAATAATAATAATTATATTGAATTGTAACAGTTTTAATAATAATATTGAATTGTAAATGTTTTTTGTGTAAGAAAAATTTCTAAATTGCCCTCCTACTTAATTACACATCAATACACCATTATCTTTTTATTTTTTCTCTCTCCTCTCTATCATTTATTAAGACAAAAGTTTAATGAGGTAAAATTTATGAAGTTTTATTTATTGGATTACTAGAAACTATAAATNGATATATAATAGTTTAATATATGATTTATATATTTATTTCGCCCGCCATAAAATGATATATGTCATTTTAAATTTTCTGTTTAAATCCAAGGAATATGAAAATTTAAATATTTAAATATTATTAATTATACTCACAAATCTCTCTCTCTCTCTCTCTCTCTCTCTCTCTCTCTCTCTCTCTTCCTTTACTCATAGTTTATTACAATATATTATTTTGATTCCTAATTAATTTATAATAATGAATATTATAAATATTTTGAATTTAATTTCTAATATAATATTCATATGATAGTTCGACAACAGTTGTTTTGTTATTATAATTTATAACAATCTACATTATAAACATTAAAATTTTTTTCTAAGCTAATGATTTACATCATTGTTCGATGACTTATTAGTTTATCATTAAATTTATAGCAATATACATTATAAATATTTATTTTTTCTTTCTAAGTTAATAACTTACATGGATATTTCAATATAGGATCCATTGGTTTGCCATCATGATTTGTGACAATATATAATATAATTTTTTTTTATTTTTCTTTCTAAACTTATAATTTGCGTGGCAGTTTGGCGGATGACTCATTGAGTTATTATAGTCTACTAGTATGAGTCCTGTGCAGTGCACATGTAAGAGATATTCATTAATATTTATAAATTAAAAATTTTTATTAAATATATTTATAATTTAAAAATACAGAATCAATATGTAATATAATTTACCTATATTAATTTATTAAAAATATTATATAAAGTTTAAATTGTGCAAAATTACATAAAAATGTCTATTTAAAATTAGTATACAACCCGTGAGGTGCACATAACTGATAATAAATTACATTATATTTGTTTCAAAATAAATATCATTTCAAAATTTTTATTCAAAAAATTGATTTGACTATATATGATTTTATGTAGTTATTTGGTAAAATGTTATCATATATTTAACAATCTATGTGAACGAAAAGTATAAATATAAAATTTATATTGTTTCATTACTTAAAATAATTAATTATTGTATAAACTATTCAAATAAAAAAAATTAGGTAGTTGAATAATCTATTAAACTATAAGTAATTGACTATTTCGTTTACGTTCAAGTGAATTTTGACCCGTAAGTTATTGAAAATTTTATCAAACTATAAATAATTGACTATTTCGTTTACATCCAAGTTAATATTGACCCGTAAGTTATGAAATATTATTTTTTATTTTTTAATTTAAATAAAAATCTTTTTATTTTTTTCAATATATTTATATACCAAATTTAAACCATGCAACTAATAAAGGTAATAATTGCAAGTTTTGTCAATCCCCTCTATATATAATTTCAGAATGCGATGAGCCTACGTGGCAAATTCTCATGTTTCAGAATCCTATTTGGCAAAAAATCATGCTTTGAAGTTAGGCTTGGATATAAATTAATATTTGTATTAATTGTATTTTAATATCATTTCCTATTATAACCATTGAATTGCAAATATATTTAAAAGTTGATAACTTTTGTTCTTATCGGTTTTACATATATAATATATCAAATTAACATCTTTTGATGAGCTTCGATTTGACATCCATATTGTATATATTAAATAAATAAATTATATTTATTTTTATAATAATAAAAAAATTATTTATTAAAATTAATTAGAAAATAAAATAATTTATCAATTAATATATTTATGTTTAATGTAGTTATATGTTATAAAGTAGAAAATTTATTATAATATAACACATATAAGTCGCACAATTAACATGTGTCATACTAAAATATACAATAATATATGCTCCCTCATATTTTTATTATTTATCACTTTAGCTTAATGGATCATTGATAAAATAAATGTCATTTTAGATACTTTTTTTTCATATTTTTCTATTTTTAACTCTCCATCTAATACACAGTGTCTCTTCATATCTCATCTCCATCATTTTTCATAACATCCATTAAATAGGATTAATATTGTAAAGAAAAAAGAATCTTAATTAGTGTGTTGCATTTGAATTGATATTATGAAGTCCGTTTGTATTTTACTATTTATTTATATATATATAATACAAAACAGTAACATATATCCTTATAAATAAAATTTAAATTTATTTATCAAACTAAATTTCATTATATCAAATAAAACTATAAATTATACTATAAAGTAATAGAAATTGGTATGTATTCTTTTAAAAATGATATTTATTTCAAATCTAATTGGTGTGTTGTCAATGTAATAAAAATAAATAATTATTTGTCTAAATTTTAAAATTACATATAAAGTTAAAAAACTGTGAAGCACGACTGATACGACACTTGATGTACTAGGCATCTAATTAAGTAAAAAAAATAATTTATTTTGCTTAATATTAAATAAACATATTCTACGCTTATGCATATACATATCACCATATTATTTATATTTATTTAAGATATATATTTTTGTACTTATGTAATAGTAAAATAATATCTATATTTTTATATGATATAAGTAAAAAAATTCAACACGGGTTGACATTTTTATTTAATGTACATGTGTTTAATTATTATGATTAAAAAAATATAATTTGACAATTTAACTAAAACTCAAAGTAATGTTTTATATAAAATTAAATTATTTTAGTTTTTAAAAAAATACAAAATTTAATATTTTTTACTAAAGCTTTCTAATTCAGCACCCGTGTAATACACGGGGATTATACTAGTATATTATATTCGAAATTTAAATCATTCAACTAATAAAGATAATAGCCGCAATATTTGACCAAATTGATTTTGTACATTAATTTAGGCGGGAATTTTCAAATTTTGGCAAAAAATATTACTCAATATAGTAAATACTTTAGGCGGGAAACTAAATGTTATTTTTGCTGATTTTTAGTTGTTATTTCAAGTAAATATCATTGACTCATTATATATTGATAGATATACATGTTATAAATACTTTGAATATTTATAATAAAATAACTTAGATCGTTCGGCAAATGACTCATTAGTTTATCATTTAAATTATATATGCTTATTTC